TGCCATGGCGAGCACTCTAGCATGTTCAAGCCTGGCCCAGAGGTAGGCATTGTCGATGTACGCCATAGCAACAATTTCAGGCAACAAGTTCATGAAAATGACCCAAACCTTTGAGTAGACATTAATAGCGACCAGGGAGAGACTATCACCTTTCGCAATTCTGTTAGCTGCATGGGTAGCCGTCGGAGAGCACCAGCATTTAAACGAAAGGTGTCTGCGCAGCCCATCATATAATTTTGTGAAGATGGACACTAGTCTGCGATCAATCCCAAAAGCTAACGTCAGACAAGCAGCAAAAGAAGGGGTGATTCTATCAAAGCATTCAGCTTTATCCAGCTTAAGGACAATGAGATCATACCCTTCCGAATTGGCAACATCGATGTCTAATTTAAGATGAGTCTGAATACTTGACATATTGCGTCCTTGGACTCCACCGACGAGCTGCGCTGGCATGGCCTGAATTTGCCATCCACGTAATTGTCTAAATCTAGCCCCTGAAAAAGCTAGGTACGGAACTGTTAACACCGTGATAAGGCGTTTCTGCATTGGACGCGCTGATCCATTCTTGTTCAAAATCATTTGACGGGCACACGTCAACGTGGTTGGCAATGGGTCATCAGAGACCTCCAGCTGCGCGAACACTTCCGCAAAGGGGCGGAAACAGGCTTCGGGGAGCATTTGGAGCTCTTGAGTGCGCCATATCCAAGCCTGGCGCCCCGTTGGTTGCGGGAATCGGGGTTCGGCCTCGATCGCGCAGCGGACATGCTTGAGGGCATGTTCGGGGAGGCGGCCCGCCTGGGTCAGCTGGACAATGGAGTGTGTAAGTTTTCAACTTACTGCTCCAGTGTCTGTTGCTCCTGTGGTACGCCACGGCCGGGACCCTTTGTCGTATGGCTCTGAGGAGAACCTGCGACTTGCAATTTTGTGACCTGTTGGTCACCGAATTCTCCGCTGGCGCTTGCTGCGGAGCTGGAATGCTGCCCTGTCGTTGGCGCGGCCAAAAGGTTGCGCGCGCATTTGCGTTTGCCTGATATATGTGTCCTATAGAGTCAGAGATATAGGACGCATATATATATATATATGTATCTCGTTTGGATAAAAATATGTCACATATAGATAATGTATATACAGTTTTTACGTATATAAACAGTCTTGTGAAAACCAGAAGTTGGGCGCAGTTGTATAATAATCCACTTGCGGAATGATGTATATACATATTTACCTGAGGTCACGCGCGTGTATTATTAAATATAAGACACACATGCGGTATGGAAACACGAAAAGAGCATGCTTGACTTACATCAAAAATTAAAAGACGCATATAGACAAAGTACACACTCAGCGGGTCTTATACGTATATATATATATATGTATATATATAAATATATAAGCGTGCGCTTTTAAGGAAGTATATAGTCTCTCCGTATTTACAATACGTCTATAGCGGCCTGGTGCCCCATCTTGCTTAAAATCGCACGCGCTCACAGAAAGAATCAAAACCTTCAAAAACACAATGTTCTATTTACCGTCGCACTTGTGCTACTTATTCGGTAAGGTCCACAAGTATCATAAGTATACTTATGTTACGTAAAAGTATAAGTAGCGTAACAGGACTCATAAGTAAAAAACATCTTGCGCACAAGGGCATATCTCCAGCTGGGCAAATCCTCGAGATCCTCTTCATAGGAGTGGATGGAGTCGTGCTTGTCGTATCGCTCATACCATCTATACATCAATGCCCACCCACACATGAACTTGGCCTGCGGGAAGAGGTCAACAAAGAGATGGACCATCCTCATCGTGGTATCGAGGCGCCGACACAGGATGGAAGCCAGGACATACGCTGTTGCTGCATCTAGGCCCAAAACGGTGAGGCAGATTGAATCTCCAGTGCGAGTGATCACATCCCACCCAATGGCATTTGATGAGAACAGCAAGCCAGGTAGTCGCATCCTGCAGAATGTCCGGGAATTGAAAATGACTTTCATCAAAACCAGATTCTTCACCATCCCAAATAAGCACCGCAAAACCACTGCATCGCAATGCGGTTTGCTGGAGCAGCCAATCCATCGCATAGATCAGTTCATCTGAGGCACAGCGTCCTTCAGTGTGGTTGCTGAAGCGGCATCGTTCTGAAAGATTGGCACCGCGACGAAGATGCCATACAGTGTCCTCAGGCTGATCAATCAGCGGGTGACCACCTGCAAATACATGATTGGCATTGACAGTGGCTCTCAATTCAGGATCCCTGTGGACAACTGAAAGGATATCGCCATCCTGACATGTATGAGACTGCGTGCTGCCAAGAGAAAACCCGTTGACCCGCAGAATCTCAAAAGACTCCCCATGGATCAATCACATGGAAGTCGACATGCTTGGATAGGTTCTCAACAATGATGACATTGTCCCCACCGTGTGTCGGGAGCAAGACCCACCATTCAGAATCCGGAAGCCGAATCGAATGCCCGGAAAGCTTCTGAAGCGAACAATCCAGAAAGCCCTGATCTCGGAGAAAAATCTGAACACTCTCGAGGCTATGCTGATCAAAGACGCGTGTGAGAATGGCAGTCGGCGGCTCCTTCCAAACCAGCGCAACCGGATCTTACGGGCCTTCGCCATCAAAGATGTTGGCACCGAGGGCGGCCTCAAAGAAGTTCTGCACTCGAAGAGAACCAGCCGAATGGACAGTCGTAGCAGCGCTTGTCGCCGGGATCTCAATGGAGCTCAAGATCGAGGTTGGAACAAATGGCAGAGTTGGTGATATCTCGACAGCACATCCACCATTATCATCACCAAAAATGATGCTCGCAAGCTGCATGAATTTCCTATTCTTTCGAAATGGCAACTAGGTCGGACACTTGCTCAGACATCGAAGCTACCACAAGTCCATGTCGGAGCGTGATCTGGGAAAGGGCATGTAGATCAAGACCAGTGCATGTGCGAAGCAATTCATTCATGGATAGACCAGGAAGCATCACACGACCCCTCTGTACCAGCGTTTCCACGGATGTCTCGAACCGAGCACTTCATGGCGAAGGCAACTGAGTCCGGGCAACGAATTGAGAGACGTTCGAACACTCTACCGACCTTAGACACAGTGAGGAAGTTACCGCTTTCCTTTTTGCACGATAGCATTATGCGTGGTCATGCGATCAGACCAAATGTCATGAACAATCTGGACGATGGACAAATCAATACCGTTGACGGCTTGCAGTCCTACCAAAATGGCAAGCGCGGCGTGAGCGCTGGTGGACAGTGACATTCGATGGAGATCCTACTCAAACCACCTAGCAAGGCAACAATACGAGTCGGCTCAATCCACTGGAGACCCTCAGGCATTATAGAAAAGAAAGCAAACAATCCACGGCTGGCAATATGGTGTGAAGCAAGTTCATGCTGGTGACCGTAAGATGCACAAATGGTTCGGAGCGGATCCTCTGGGTGGATTATACGTTCCCTCAACACCGAAGCGACTGGAGCATCAGGAGCAACCCTGGCCTTCTTGGCTGGCGGTGCGATTGCCATACAATCGTTGCAGCTCATCAGAAAGAAGCAACCCTTCACGAAAGTCCTGAGGAAGCGGGAAATCATAACGATCAGAGGACCATGGGCACAAATCGGGCATGCTCAAACGATAGTTGGCTTCGATGATCTTCGGATGCAAATCAGACCTTACCCAAGCCGAAACCCAACGACCCCTCACATTGTGTGAAAGGTGGTGGCACTCAACTACTTGCTGCCAAATCCTACGAAAACCACCAAGCTTCAAAAGATGCGAAACCAATCCAAAGTGTGGGTGTTTCACGATCTCATCGGCACATTCGAATACCTGTACATTCGGCTGCATGACAAGAATCCAAAAGGCTGCATCTACAAAGGAAAACCCCGCGGGGGGATGCAGTGCCCACCAGATTGGACCGAGCACGAATATGATGGCATACTGAGCAGTCGTTGATTGGCGCGCAAATCCCAACATGGGTGCTAGGGCACCAACAATGTTCTGGTTGAGTCGGACCGTAATGCACCTGTTGAACGAATTGGTGACTCCAGTTTTGCATCGTTCGCGGGCCACTATCGATGAAGTATTGTTGGCCTACAGGTTGGAAATCCTCCTTCCTCCCAATCTCCAAAGCCTGCGACCATCCACAAAAGGAGCCCAAGAACATATGAACAGCAGTGATCGGTTCATGCGTATCCCAAGTCGGAACTACCAAGACAATGGAGTCTCTTGGCATGGCCAAACAATTCGAACCTTTCTCAACCACCATCCCAAAGATAGAAAGGGTGTCTCCTTGTTGACATCGCAAATCGCGTCGGTCCAGATCTTCCACGGAGATCTCCCAAACATCATCAATCAACACAGAAAAGCCCTTCCCCGGAGAAAAGGCTTTCAGTCGCATCCACACTGTAGATCCCAAGTGTCACATACCACTCCCTGGAGAAGCACCTTCCCAGCTATGCGAACAAAAGTGCCGGCACAACTGAAGGAAGTGAATAACTCTTCAAGAGTATGCTTCCAGGGAACCTCAATTTTGGCTCTGATCATCTCAACCAATCGGGGCATCATGATGTCAATCGAGCACTCAACGTCACCAGAAAAGCACTCTTCACAAAGACCGAGCTGCTGGATCTTTGGAGGTCCAACTTGATGGACGATGCACCTATCCGAGAGGATAGCAAGCACCCCTAGGTGGCCCGACACCTTCAGCCGCACGGCTTGGGCCTAGACGGCTTTCTGTCTGTTCTTTTCATTGCATGTCGTTTCTGTTGTTGTCGTTTCTGTTTGTCCTTTTTGTTCCGTTCTTTCTTTCTCTCCTTGTTTGTTCGTTCTGTATGTTCTTTTCATTCATATTAGTTTGTTCTCTTGTCTGTTCTTTATGTCCTTAATTGCTTCCGTTCTCTCTTTATCTCGTTTATTTATGTTGTTTTGTTATGTCTTTTCTTTTCTTTTGTCTTCTGCTCGTTTTTCCCTTCTGTTCTTCTTATCTTCCGTTCTTTCTTTCTGTTCTCTCTGTTCTTTTCATGTTTTTTCTTTTGTTCTATTCTTTTCATTTTTATCGTTTCTTTTCTTTCCTTCCCTTTCCCTTGTGTCTTTCTTTCTTGCGTCTGACTGACCCCGACCGACACCAACTCCAAGCACTGGCGCAAAAAGAGAATCGACTGTTTGTGAATGTCCCGAAAAAGAGCAAATGCAAAAGCCAAAAAAGAACACAGTCGATTCTCTTTTTGTCACAAAAGGGTGTCAAGTCTGCCTCTCTTCGGCACCTCTCACACGTTCTGCGCGCCCAAGGCCACCTCCGAAACCTGCTTTTTCACTCGCCTGGCGATGTGATAGGCACATGTAAGTTATGAATAACACATTCGATGTGTGTTTTTCTATTTGCAACTTTTCTTTGTCTCTCGCCTCAAATACTCGGTCTTGTCCGTGGAGAACATTCGATAAGGTTCCTCCTAAATGACGACAAGACAGACGTCTTTTTCAGGTTTCTAAAACTCTAAGCACCTGCGCTGGTGAAGCAGCATTGGGATTGTCGAGAAGATCCTGAGAATCGGGTTCTCAAGGAGCGCCGGGATGTTGTGGCGTCCAAAACGTTTCACTTCGAGGGCCAAACCTGGATTCCCAAAAGGATCTGACGAATCGTAATCGCAGGCTTCCAATCCTGTCTCGCTGTCCAATGTCACATTCACTTTGCCTAGATCATGCATGTACACAGAGTACAGTTCATGAACCTTCAACTGAAGTGGCTTTTCTGCCCGAGAGAAAAGGCCGCAGCCATGTTTTGACATGGTAGCGGAGCCCGAGGATTGACCGTGGGCAAGCTACGGTCATGAGGGCTCAGGTTTTCACGAAGCCATGGATGGTGATGGCGATGGTGGCCATGCAGGCAAACGAGAGCCACAGGTGATGTCAGACCTGATGGCTGGAGCAAAGCCCAACGAAACGATCCGGCAGCTGACGATGAATTCGACACTTGTCTATGTCCTTGAGGAGCTCGACTACATGTTGGAGCGGCGCTGGCATGGTACCTACATCCTGGACAACCTCAACGAGCAGTTCATTTGGCGACACTTTGTCCTGGACAGCTTGGAGGAGCTCAAAGAGTGGTGGCACCACAACATGGAGAATTTCAGGAAGAAGTTCAATGGCGCCCAGTGAGGCATGGTGGCACTCACTGAAACAAAAGGAGAAAAAGAAGGTCAAGGGGGACCCACTCGAGAAAGAGCACCTCAAGGCAGATGGGAACCCACTCGAGGAGAAAGAGAAAGAAAAGAAGAACCTCATCACAAAGAATGACATGGCGCAGGACGAGGTCGACGAGGAGATCAGAAAGAGCACCATGGAAAAGAAGAGACTGGATGGGCGAATCCAGCGATGGCAACTGGTCGACCAGGAGAATGTCACCTACAAGAACAGAAACTACATCCTGAACTTTGACATCGAGAAGTGCCAGAAGAAAGAGAACAGCAGCATGGTTGACTTCGACAATGAGCAGATGGTGGACTACAGCGAGATCCCCATGGAGAAGATCAGCAACGAGATCTTCAAGGTGATGTGCTTGAGCTTGGCCATCCAGTGCAGGTGGCAGATGATGGTGCTGCTGATGCTTGGGCTGGTGGCTGCAGCCCATGGCTTGGAAGATAAACGAGCTCCAGGCTGGACAACACGACATGAGAGGAGACAATGGCTGTTAGTGAGAGTGAAAGGGAGAGAAAGCAGAACAGAAAGTAGGAAGAGCCACTTGGGTCGCATGGCAAACAAACGGCAGTTCCAGATGTTCATGATGGTGACAATGCTGAGTACAGCAAATGACATGGAAACACAGCAAATCCTACAACAAATGTCACAACTAGCAAGCGCAGCAACAAGCGCAGCACAAGCAGCAACAGAAGCAACACAGGCTTTCACCAAAGCCTCAGGATCAACAACACAAGGTCTTGAGAGTGCAACAAAGATTTTGAAAAGTCCAGACACATTCACGGGAGATGATCCTCTACTTTTCTCATCCTGGAAACTTCAATTTGAATCCTGGCTGAGTTTTGGCGATGCTCGATTTACAGGTTTGTTGATGAAGACAAAGCAAGGAAGTGAACCTGACCACACGGTCTATAGAACAAACAGCATTGGCCAACAAGTTCTTTGCGGTGTTGAGTTCGATGCACGCAGCTGGTCGGAGCCAACCAGCAATACGTTTCAATCTTTGGTTTCAGATGTGCCGAGAATTCCTTCAACCAGGCAGAGATCACTTGCGATAGCCCAGAACTTAGGCCAGTATCCTGGTGAACCAGTATGAGCGGACAAGCAAGGAAACGTATCCCAGTGAGTTGAAAACAGCGACTTTAATCAGGTGTGCACCTCAGAAGCTCAGAGAACATCTACAACTTTCTTTGAGCGACAGATCAACTTATGCTGATGTGCGAGAAGCACTACTTGCCTATGAGAGAACATCCAAGAGTTTCTCACAAGAGCAAATCCTCAAACAGCTCGAGATTCAAGATCCTGGAAGAGCAAGTACAGACAATGGTTTGGCACCGATGGAAGTAGACAGAGTGCAAGATAAAGGTAAAGGCAAAGGAAAGTATGAAGTATAAAGGAAAGCAGAAAGGAAAAGGCAGTTGGTGGCAAGGTGCATGGCCATTCGGTGGTCGTGAAAGAAGTTACAAAGGCCGTGGCAAAGGCAAAGGACGCGGCAAAGGAAAAAGCAAGAGCAAGAACAAAGGCAAGAAAGGTAAAGGCAAACAAAGAGCTACAACACCAACTACACGCAAAACTACAGTGGAGGCAACAACTGCAACATTTGTGGCCAGTCAGGCCACTGGGCAAGAGATTGTCCACAAAAGGTGAACCAAGTGCAGCAACAGCAGATACAGCAACCTGTTGCACCACAAGGTCAACAAGGAGGTGGAACTTCAGCAAGCGGTTCAACTCAGAGCACAATCGCATATCCTCACTCGACCTGCAGGTCCACACAGTCACAGTCAACAGTGAGAAGAGTCTATGACATTGGCAACTCAGAGTTTGAAGGAGAAGTAAACATGCTCCAGATCACAGATCATGAGACAGAGTACTACATCATTGATGATGACCTCTTGACGACTTCAACCCGAACTTCAACGACGTGGGATGATGACTCTCATCAATGGTTTAACCACAAGCTCGACATTGACGACCATGGACATTTCATGACTGGTGAATTTCATTCCCATGGGCGAGCAGACCAACGAGTTCGAGTAGTTCTTGAAGAGATCCCAGAAGAGGACTTGGAGACAATCATCCTGGACAGTGGTTCAGATGTGAGCTTACTTCCCAAGAAGTTCTACAGGGAGGACAGAGATCTTGGCAACCAACATCGACTACAAGATTGCCAAGGAAGAAGGTTGAATGTGGCAGGAACTCGAGAGACAGAGATCGAGGTGATGGACGCTAATGGTGAAATGGTCACACTTCGCCACAGGTTCCTAGTTGGAGAAGTCACAAGTTGTTTGTTGAGCCTTGGACAACTGCTGAAGAGCGGTTGGACTTTGAACCATGACGAGCACCAGAAGAACAAACTCCTACTATGCTCACCAGACCGAGAAGCAGCAATCCCAGTGGGATATCGTGGTATGTCCCTAGCCATTGAAGGCACTGTGAGGAAGATTGAGAAAGAGAACACAGTAGCTGAAGATGATGATGAACCTCAGATTCGACTACACGTTCGCAAGATGGTCCAATCAAAAGAAGGACATGGCATCGAGACAGAGCCGAACAATCTATGGAGGCATTGCGACGCAGAGATGGTATTCATCAAGTCTTTGTCGAACAAGTTCTACGACACCAAGACGACTTGGGGTGAACGATTCACATTCAGAAGCACTTTCATCCGAGAACTCAACGAACTTCCCGGACCAGCTCGGAGATGGCAAATGGTTGAATTCTGCGAGGACATTTCCAAGAAGGAGAACAGGAGAACATGACTGAGAACATCCCAGAGTGTGGCGGCAGCAGTTGGCTTGTTTTGACAATAGCCAGTGGAGACTACTTTGACTTCGACAAACTCTTCGACATTGTGGATGAGGATGCATTGAACCCAATGGTTGGAGCAGCAGAGAAAGAAGCAAGAGCACGACGTGAGCTTGGACTTCATGAAGAACAACAAGATGAAGCATTGGCATCAAAATGTGAGCCAATGGAAGTGGCAACAGAAGTGGTTGTGAATGAGATGACATTGAGTCCCTATTCAGCAATAAAGGACTTACGTGCAGCAGCAAAGTGGCTTGGAGTGTCAACCGCAGGTTCCAAGCAGAACATTATCGACAGGCTGAACACCATCAAGAGAGAAGAACGAAGACAGGCAACATTGCTAGCACAAAGATGATCAACCGGTGAAAGATCAACGACTTCCCCCACCTTCGAAGCTTGAGCGGAGATTGCACAACCTCACTCACCTACCATACAAAGCTTGGTGTGATGTTTGCGTGATGGCTAAAGCCAAGGACAACAGCAAGAAGAGAAGCTTTCCAGCACCCAGTTCAACAAGAGAATTTCCTACAGTTCAGATGGACTTTGGAACAGTGTCGCACGGTGTTTGCTTTGGACGAGCACAGATCCAAGTATGAGCGAAGATGGCTCAGAGGAGTTTGGCTTGGCAAAGATGGAGCAGATCAAGACATAGTTGCATTTGAAGGAGAGAGATTGGTAAGGACACGAGCAGTTTGACTTTGTGCCAAGGAGTATGACAAGGAGCTACTCATTAGCCTCGCGAACTCCAGAAACTTTGAAGAAAGCTGCAACACATGGCATGATGAAGGTCAAGTTGAGAGAATTACAACCTCCAGAACCAGTTCAGATCCAGATGAGAAGGCAGTTCAAGACTACCGTGAATAACATCCTGAAGGAAGCGATGAAGAGGAGTACACTCCAAGTGACCCAGGCAGGGCAAGGAAGGAGATGAACAAGTTGCAAAGAAGCCTCGACTCGAAGCTCCAGAAGACAAAGGAAGTAGCAGTTCAGGAGCAATGGACACATCACAGCAAAAAGAATTGAGAATACATCCTCTTGAAGGAGGAAGTGAAGAAGAACCAGCAAAGGCATACAAGCACTCTTCAGAACACACAGCAAAAGCAGCTCGGACAGGAATGTACAGTCCGACATTCGCCGGAGACATCCGACAAGTTCAAGAACACTATGTAGATGAACAAGCTGATCTACTTGAAGAATGGCAGTTTGATGAGGAGTCACATCCAGAACTCGACATCGAGCTGGATTTCTCAGAGAAGCTCATTGACAGAGAAGAACGAGATGGAGCTCCAACAGCGAGCGACGACATGCTAGCACAGTTAGATCTAGAAGCAACACTCGAAGAGATCGAAAGGCTACAGAAGCTAGAAGTGTTGGCAGTGGCAGATCCTGATGAGACAGAAGAAGCATTGATTTTGGGCGCGACGTGTGTTTTTGACTGGTGGCAAGTGGAAGAGAAGATGTAGAATTGTTGCCAGAGAGTACAGGACATCCAACACAGATGAAACACAATTCAGTCCAACACCAATCATTGGCAATCTTTAACCTGCAGCTCCATGTGGACGCATTCCTCAGTGTTCGACAGCGAGAACTAGTAGAAGTGATTGTACCACAATGGGTTCAAGAGCTTGGAGAGAAAGATGCAACAGGCAATCCACTGCTGAAGGCTGAGAAGTGGAAATTGCTGAAGTGCCTACCAGGCCAGAGAAAAGCAGCACTCAGATGGAGTGAACACTTCAAAGATGTAGAGAAAGCAAGATTCCAATGTAGAACAGTATGAAACAGCAACATGTTCAGATTCAACAGCGGTGAAACGAATCCCTCCTACATCAAGAAGATGGTGGAACTCTTAGAACAGGATTTTCCGATCAGGTCTCGGACTAGCACTACGACACCTGGCAAGCTACCTGAATGGAACACAAGAAGCAGGAGCCTTCAACCTAGAAGCATTCACAGATGCCAATTGGGCAGGATGCAAGGTTTCAAGAAAATCGACGACATCCTACATGATTTTCATGAACGGCAATCTTTTGATTTCCTCGTGCAAGCTGCAAAGCTCAATAGCATTATCAAGTGCGGAATCAGAACTCTATGCAAGTTGCAGTGGCATCCGCAATTTGTGGATCCATTCGCTATGACCAATCGCTTGTGCAGGGTTCCAACAGCAATTGACCCGTCAGATCTGAACACCAAGAAACTTTCACAAGAACGAAGAAAGAAGCTGATGGCTTTGATCCCCATAGGATTTCAGACTGGCGAGATAGAGAACATTGAGACAAAGAAGACATTGGACAGCAGATCACTCCAGAAGATTTTGAGAGTCCTACTAGCAAGCAGCAGCTGTTTTCTACAGGGCTGTGAGCGCACCTTCCTGACAGGTGGAGACACTTCACTGGTGGACTACCTCACGATCAAGAACATGGTGATGGCAGCATTGACATTGCTGATTGCCTACCTGATCTATGCGATCAGATTGCAGCAAGTGCAGCTGAGATTCTCACAGAATGTTTTCGACGAGTTGACGCGGCGACTACGACCAGATCGACATCTTTGACGACCAGGAGATCCTAACAGTTCTTCATCCTCGACATCAACTTCACAGGAGAGCGGACCTTTTACGTCAGGCATCACTCCAAGAATGACACCTGAAGATGCAATGAGGTTAGGATGGCGACCTCCACTTCACGTAGGAGCACTAGCAGAACTTGGTGAAGAGTACGTAGCACTACAAGGTGTATGGCAAGACATTGATCCATCAAGATTCCAGAGAGGACTGATGAACATATTTCCCCTTCCTTTCAGGCGAGCAGGAAGCAGCGGCAGGAACCACAACGACAAAGCACAAGGAGAACATGATCAAGATCTACCAGATCAACATGAACAAGTTCCAGAAGAAGAAGAACCTCTTGGAGAGGAACCAAGTCCAGAACAAACTTTGAGTCAACCTGGACAAGAACGATTTGATGTTTTTACACAAGCTGGACAGAGTGGTGATCAAGAAGAAGCAGCACATGGACCAAGAAGACGACTACAACAAGAAGCTTCACATGGAGCAATGAGACCAGATGACATTCCAGAACCAGAACCAGAAGGAGAAGACAATGAACTTCATCCTGGACACCATGGAGATGAGCACCTACATGGACAAGTTCGACGAGTACAACAACATGGTCATGGAGAAAGTGAACATCAATGGAGAAAATCAAGAAAGTAATGAACCAATGAGGCAAAGCACCTAGAGATCTCAAGTGATAGTTCACGAGAATGGCCGGATTTTGATCCAGATTCAGAAGGAGATCGACAAGCAGAAGCTCACAACAGAGCACAAGATGTAGATGATCAACATTGGATGGCACTTGAGGAGACAGGCAAACGCATTGGTGAAATGATAGCTGACAGCAGCAATCACTACAACGAGGACGAGCTCTACGACATGATTCCCGATGACCAGGAGACCTTCGACTGGTATCGACAGCAGATGCTGATGAGAGGAGAAGGAGTTGAAACTCACCTAGTTCATGCAGGACATGAACTGGCAGGTTTGATCAACCAGATCCTGGAGACAGAGAGTGGTGTTGAATGGAGAGTGGTGTTTGGCAGATTGCAGATCTTACACAAAGAGATCTTGGAAGCAATTGATGATTGTACAACTCCAGAAGGATGCAGAAGAAGCTTCAGATTCATCAAGAAGCTACAAAGGTTGGAAAGAGAAGCGATTGAGAGAGCAACACACGACATGGATGCAGCTGGAAGCAACGAGTCCCTGAATTCGCTAGAGCGATATCAACGAGGAGAAGGACGAGATGCTGAACAAGAACTTCGAGGCATAGAGGAAACGATGCTTCAGGTGCTACCAGAAGAAGTACATGTCATTCCTGGAGAGCACAGCATGGCAGGATTGGCACTCAGTGCAGCTGGAACAGGCATCCCGACAGACCGCATTCGAGCTGGACTACAGGATGGTGAACCTCAGGAGAATGACTTTCATGGAAGTCTCTGAAGACGATGATGACATGAGCCCGATGACGCTGAGAAAGACGGCTAGCGCTGAAGTGAGACAAGCTTTTTAAGCTTTGGTGGTTTCAGTCAAGAATAGCTTCTGGCCACCTAGCTTGCTTGTAGAGAAGAGAAAAGTGTGGAAGCGCTTGGACGCACATCCACAAGGCAGGGTGTCACATTCACTTTGCCTAGATCATGCATGTACACAGAGTACAGTTCATGAACCTTCAACTGAAGTGGCTTTTCTGCCCAAGAGAAAAGGCCGCAGCCATGTTTTGACAAAAAACTGAAATCAAAAGGAAAAAAAAGAGAAAAACTTGACAAAAAACCAGAAACGGTTCGGAACAAAGAGGTCGCCTCATCTTCGTTGAGGATACTGAGGCAAACGGTCCCCGAAGGATACACGTTTGGATGGAATAGCGGCTTGCCATGTACCTCGAAGAAAAAAATCCCGTTTGTGTCCTTCTGACAAAATTCACTTGTTAGAGATGCGCTTGAGACATATATACACATAGAAGCTACTAGTAACAAGTGCATCGTTTCTAGTAACAAGTGCCTTACTTAGGAACAATGTTTGCTAGTAGAAACAAAAAAAAATAAAAAATAAAACACTTTATTACTAGTAGTAAGGCACTAATTACTACTAGTAAGGCACTTTGTTTCTTAGAAACGATGCACTTGGTTCCTAGCGTTCTTCATTCGCCGACGTGCGAATTGCTGCGGCGCACGTGTGCGAATTTGCACTTCGGCGGTTTGCTGGGATAGTCCTCTGTGAACTCCATGGTGAGAGCATATGTGGCGCCCTGAAAAAAAAACGTCTATTTTCGATTGAAATAAAAAACAATAAAACAATGTCGTAAACATATCCGAAAACCTAAGAGGAAAATCAATGGCCAATGGCCTCCCAAGGGCCCTTCGCTCTTCCTGGAATACCACAATTCCACTTGAAGACCTCAAAAGGTACAAAAAAACGAAATGATTTTGACTAAACCGTTTGTCTTTCCTTGTTTGCTTCAGAACAATTTGGCATCTTTGGATCGGCACGTTCTGTCCCTTGCCGTCTTCGTTGGGCGCATACCTGAACAAAAATGTATCAAAAGATATCAGCGAAAAGAACAAATATCAAAATTCCAACGGAGAATTCGCACTTCGCGTAGAATCCAAAGGGGTGATCCTTCTTGAACGCTGCACGTTCCTCGAAAAATGAAACGAATCGATTTTCTGAGATTTTCTGAGATTGCTGGACATTGTCCTGCGCAAGGCGCTTTGATGCAAAGCTGGCCATGGCTTTGCAGGGCCCAAGCCGCCGGTCCGCCGCTAACAGCCGCCCTTTTTGGATCCCTTGAGAGGCAAAGCAAACTCAAACGACACGCTTTGGAGACGCAGAACAAATAGCGGCTCGAAGGTAGAAAAACAACGCAAGTTTCCACGTACCACACCAGCCTTTCTCCACCCATTGTCCTTCTTCGGGGCTGGCATTTGCTGCACTTATCCACCAATTTCGCCAATACGTTTGGACACCAAAGGCATAAAACAACAATAAGGCAAAAAAGGCGTTGGAATTGAATTGGAGACGGGTGTTTGCCATAGGATCATGGGATGACATGGCATGAGGGATTGGTGAAAGGGATTGAAGAAAAGAAAGGCGGTTCTTGCAGGTTGGATGCGCTTGAGTTTTGAGATAGGAATCTTCAGGTTTGGGGATCATGAAATATCGATATATTCAACAGTTGATTGTATCTTTTTTGAAAGCGGTGAACCATGAAAAATATGTGTGTGGCCTCCAACCTACTTGCGATGGCCTCCATTCTAATACGGATGGTCTCAGGTCCAATTCAAAATTCATTAAAAACACATTATATCTCTCTTCAATTTGTGACCATTTATATACATATTGAACTTCAAGACATCTCGTATACTGCCAACTTTTCTCTTTCCACCATTCTTGGCGTCACGCGCATGGAATAGGATCCTGCAAGGCAACCTGAAGTTGGTCGGAAATTGAATATCCAGTCTTTTGGAATCTTCGTGTGGAAGTCTTTCTCACCAGCAAATGCCCTCTGGTGATCAAATCCTTTTGCCACAAGACTTCGAAGCCTGAGTCACTGAAAAACTCGACCAAGGCATCCATTGAAGGAAAGAACTTGTTTGTTCGGTCATACGTGACTCTCCCCTCTGGATTTGTGTGTGCATAATACTGAATAAACTTCACCCAGTTGTAGCTTTCCATACTCAAATTTGCTGGCGGCAGCTGTGCCAGTTGCAAAGTCTCTGTGATTGCCGTCTCTATCGCAGCAACTGCGCCAACCTTCAACAAAAGCCACAAAACATCAATCATCACAATTGGGTGCCGGAGATGATACAGAACGCCAGACATGACGATGAGATCAAATGAGTTGTGTTCAAAAAGACTGGCAAGTTCATAACCTCGAGTTCGCACAAAGGTCACTTGTGAAGAGAGCAGCTTGTGTAGCTGCTGGAAGCCAAAATGCGTTGGTGGCATGATGTCAACTGCGTAGACCGTTTTAACGCCGTGCCGCTCGAGCTCAAATGCGACACAGCCATTCACGGTCCCAATGTCCATGGCTTGCAAGTCCTCTTTGCCTTTGGCAGTCTCATTTGTCAAAGCTGCGCTCAAGGCCCTCTCTCCTAATTCCAAAGCCACTTTCGTATTGCCATTCAATTGCACTTTCCCTGGAACCAAATCCCAAATTATATGATTCTGAAATGTGGTCTTGGCCAGAAACTCCTCGGCTTCTGTCGCTGATGGAATTCTCATCGGAGTTGCGCTCGGTGAAACACAAATACGTTCCGCCAACAAACTTTGCTTACTCTTGGAGCAGCAGTCGACTCTGTCGTCCTGTTTGTCGACTCTGTCGTCCTTGCTCTTTGCAAAGCTGGTAGCACTTTCGTTGGATCTGCCTAGTTCTGGGGCCAGCCGTCCAATGCATGGGGAAGGGCGCAACAAAGCCGCACCTTGCAGAAGTATCACTACCACTGCCAAAAGGCCACAAGCTTTCCAACCTGGTTGCATCATGAAAGAACACCACTAAGAGTTTGAGCCATCTCAAGAATGAACTTGAAGAATTCCACGAAAAAATACCGCCACAATTTGTTTTTGCACTTGTTCTTTCGAACATCGCTTGGGTTCTTCGAAAAACTCGAGTGGGACATTACTAGGCGGCGAAACTAGTTTCTTAAGGGACAGACTTGTTTGGAACTTGTTCGCTACTCTACTGGACGCAGGATAGCTGTTCATGTAGTTCCCAAATGATTTCGCTCAATCTCAAGGGCGATCATGTCAGATATTGAGGTGAAACAAAAACGATCAAAATCATTGATCTGTGAAACTTTGACTGCGAGCAGGGCCCTGACTTGGTCAAACTACAACATCTTTATAGCGGCGCTTTCAGTGCATATCGCACACGTGGAAAGTAACATTTGGAAAGCAACTGTGAACTTGACACCATACTGCTTTAACATAGAACGTACTATCGAGAGACACAACAAACTCATGGCATACATGACCCTCTACAAAACTTGCATTTTTTCCAATTCCACGCAAAAACCGTTTGAAAACGTGCGTTTTTCTTCTTCTTCTTTCGACTCGTGTTGACTTGTCTTTGTGGGTCATGTGGCACTCCGTCACCTTCTCGCTCAGGTCGTGTCGTGAGACCCACCATTTGGCACGTACCAAAACCTCGACTGGAGGAGAGACAGTCGGAAAATGGACGGCCATGAGAGAAACTTTAAGAATACGGGAAAAAACGGTCAAGAGATATCAACAAATGTTGTTCGTCTTGTTGTTTTTTTGTGTTCGTTAAAGAACCGTTAGCTTGAAATTGAGGCATGAACAGTACAGCAATCACCGCATAGGCGGCGCAAAGGAGGTAACCTTGAAGCCAGTTTGACCTGAAGGTCCCGCTCAGCGAAGCTAAACATGTCAAAGGCGTCAATCAATTTTGTCGGAACAACAACCAACTTCATTTTCTCCATCACCATCTTCGTCATCACGTGATAATAGTGTGTAGATCACCATCACGTGTGAAGACCGTGTGAAGATATCGGTGTGCGCAAGTCAACATACACAAATGTACACTTGATGTGGGGGCCCAATTGCAAGCCGGGGTACCGAAGTGTTACGCGCACCTCACAGCCCACATGCTGGGTGTGCAATGCTGAAGCTGCCCCCAAACTATATCTACAAGCAGGCATCTTGTTTATGGAAATGGGCAAAAACATGAGACGAAAACCAGGGCCAGCCCCGAACAAAATAAAACTACTTTCGTTCATTCTTTAGCCTTTCTGTGGCTCTATCTTTCTGTCTCTTCAGCTGGTCTCTCTGTATCGCTAGCTCTTTCACACTCTCTCCTCTTCTATCCATCCACCCATTCACCCTGGTCAAACGAGCCTTCCATTGACCTATCTACACTCTATATACATCCATCTTTGCACATCTTCCACCTGTCATGCCGCGCACACGCAGCAGTACCCGCGACACTCTGGTCGGCATGGCACACACAAAGCGAAGAACCCCAGTGAGTGAATTCATCCATCATAACTATTCAGGTCAAATGCCCACGCGTTCAGTTTCTGATCACGTCCCTCGAGCAAGAGGCCTGCGGACCGATTCAAACCAACAGTCTGTATATATGGCCGCGCTGCTCGTATAGATCCCTGCGGGGTTGCCTTCCCGCAGCGGTGCGCCCAAACAGCATCACGCCATCCTGGGACGACCTTCTGGTCATGGACGGAAACAACGACGCTGCACGCCCTCTTCACCTTTTATTGAGCATAGTCAGGAAAGCGTCAACCAAAAGGCAGCAGATTCCAGCGACAAGTGCATCCGATAAAAATAACGGCCATCTCGACATACCCAGACAGAGTCTCAACTTCCATCTGGTCGTTAAAGTGGAAGCATCGGTTTCGCCAAATTGTTGCTTTAGCTTACTTGCCGTGATTGGGTCGAACACACGGGATCCAATTGAATCCAGACTCAGACGGATTCCAACCCCAGAGCGGAAAGCGTGTGGAAACATCAGTAGCATCCTAGGGTTCGGATGAACCGTGGGCTTAAAGCAGTTACAGGTCCAAGTTATACAACCATTTACAAGACTGGTTGTAAACTGTTATAACTACTTACAAGTATGCTAAATGGTTGAAAAACTTAGCATAAATGATGTTAAGTTGTTGTAAGGTTTATAGAACTTACGACTTCAAGTTGCTAAGCGTTAAAGAAGTTATACTATAGTATACCATGTTATACCGTACTTGTCCCGTATATAGAAGTATGTTTTAAATACACTTACAATGCCTACTATAACCTTTACAACCTTTACAAACCCACGGCTCATCCCAGCATGAGTTCCTCTTTTGCGCCGTAGAAGTTCTTGACCGCAAGTTCGTCGCCTATCGTCTTGTTAGGCTGAGTGGGCGACAAAAGCTGACGAACATAATTAAACGCTGACGAACATAAACTTCGTGATCCAAGGCAACAAACGCCTTCATATGGGCAGGCGCATGCTCCAGAGCTGTACGTCTAGCAGCTTCATCTGCAAGACGGTTACACACCCAGCGTCTCTGAAATGGCCTCAATGGGCACATCATCGCACGAGTGGGCCTTGAGCCAAGTAAGACGAATAGGCTCAGGATGGGTTGCAATACGTTGAACCCAGCACTAAAAAATTCGTTCCCGCCAAACAGCCTTACTCCGCTTTGGCGCATGTGGACTATTGTCTGGCAGTCGGTAAAGATATGAAAACATGTGTGACCCAGAACAGCGTACAGTTCCGTTGCATAGGAGCTCAAGCTGATGCAGTTGAGACGTCCACGCTGAATGCACGCTTCATTTCCATCTATAATGGCTTCGAAGCACCAGTGGCAGTTCTCCCCCAGCTGTCCTTTGCGGCTGTTATCTAGTTCTCAACGATGTCCAAACTGAAGGCGCAACCGGCCACACTGGAGATCCAAAATGATTGTTTTTACGCTCCTCACCCCCTGTTATGTTGAATCCCAGACTGCTCGCGCCTATACGGCTCCGCTTAATGTTTGGCGGCTTCTCCGCGCTCATCATGAAATGATCGACAAGTTGAATGACCAGTTTGATGCGTGTGTGACCGTCAAACATTCGCTGCTCTACAACATCACTCGCGGCTTTGAGCTCCCCTGAGCATCGAATATTGATTACAATCAATATTCTCAAAACCCTTTTGATTTAGCTTCAAAATCAATATTGGAGAAGTGATTTTTTGATTTTGAAATCAATTGTGAAAACTAGGAAGAAAAATCAAAATAATCAATATACCAAAACACACTAGAAAAATTAAAAGCAATATTATCAAACAATTCAAACAGGTCCCAGCCCCTCTACACCCTGCCCAGGCCCTGCTGGCACTCTCCTTTTTTCCATATCATGTCTATACTTCATCTAGCTCTTTGGCCAGGTTCATCTGCCAGAAAGCATGTCCCTTTTTCAAGGTTCATGCATGAATTAAGATGCACTTCTTTTTCAAGGTTCCTCTTTTTCAAGAGTCTTTGGACTGACTTTTTCAAGCTTTCACAGGCTTGCTTTTTCAAGCTTGCTCCAGGCCAGAGGCTTATAGTTGCACTTTTCAAAAACCTCAACCCAAACCTTTTTCAAGGTATATATATATATCCTTTTTCAAGGATGGTTGAGCCTGTCAAGGTAGCAGGAGGCCTTTCTCAAGGGTCAACCTGCCTCGACGCCAACTCCATCCCTTCTCTTGTGAGAAGAAAACGAAGTAGGATGCGGTATTTTGGCGCAACCTTGACACTCAACCTTGTAGAAGATACACCAGGGCTCACACTGGATGTGAGCAAGGATATCTTGCCCACAAAATCCTCACTGGAGAAAGTCCAGTGGGTCTGGGGATTGAGGTTTTTTGAATTTGCAACCAAGTGCTGAAATGTATGGCATTTCATCACTATGTTGAAAAGCTTTCTCCCCTTTTCAGGGCCCAAGCAGACAGAAGGGCATAGTAGTCACTGAACCCTTTTTCAAGGGACATGGCTTTATGCCATTCAGCTTCTGTCAAGAAAGCATCTGCCTCATCAAAGAGCTTGATGAGTTTTGACATGCACTGCATGGCCTGGAGAATGGCCTTCTCTTCTGCAACCCCTTCATCCAACAATGCCTTGCATACTGGCAGAAAAGCATGCAGGATGTGCTTGGTTTCTGCAGCTCTCACGTCCAGGTGCGCACAGCTTGCGTGGGGTTGCTTGGGGTCACAAATCTTGCTCAACCTGAGGTTGGTGACCCTGGTCGGTGAAGATTGCCTCACATATTCTCTTTGGATGGCTTCAAACATGGCTCCCAATCTCTTTTCTGGTGCCACTGCTTGAACCTTACCAGGGCCATCATGCCAACACAGGTAGTGCGTGATGCTGCCTAGGAAATGTCCTAAGACACCTTTGCAAAATAGTATGTAGAGACAATCACCCCTGACCATTTTGGTTGTCCCTCCAATCACTCCAGAAAGGAGGTGGTGATTGCTCCTGTGGTGCAGCCTGGCTTCCTCATTGGACACCAAAGTGAAGCCTTGTTTCCCTTTTTCAAGGGTTTTGTACCAAAGCTTCACTGGTTTTTGCTCTTTTTGGGCATCACACTCCCAACAGGGGTAGTGTGATGCCCAATGGGGAAGAAGCAATGCGTTTTACACAAATTCATGATCTCCTTGAATGTATCAGAGCACCCCTTTCAGCCCATTGCACAGGGGCTTACCTTTTTCAAGGGGTTGCCCGCAGGGTCATGAGTTGGATGCAACCCTTTTTCAAGGGCTGCAAAGCTCCAGCAGATCCATTTCATCATGGTGTCCCAGGTGCTTGCTTCTGTACAGCTTTTGGGATAGCCACCAATCATGAAATGGGAGCTGAGTGAAT